TCTCGATTCATTTAAAAATAAGGCCCCTGGGGACAGAGGGCAGCAAGTTGGGAGCGAGGGGTACCAGCAGGGCTGGTGGGGCTGTGGGTCAGGAGTGAGGGACACCAGCAGTGCTGGAGGGGCTGCGACTTGGGAGTGAGGGGCACTGGCATATTAGGGCCACTCAGTGCCACAAAGCAGCAGGGGACACAGTCACAGCTGGACCCACATCCTGGTGAGCGAAGGGGGCAGGGGGAGCCCTGATCATCCATGATAAAAAAATCAAAATAAAACACCAAAATATATAGATGTTTAGAATTTTTTTCATTATAATGATTGAGGCACTGGTAGGTTTCCAAATTGCTTTAAAATTGTAAATATATCAATAAAACATTGTTTTCAACTGATACTTTATATGTCATTTCAATTGTGGAAAAATGCAGATTTGGGGTTTTTAATCAGAGAATTTGTGATTTTTTAATTGGAGAACTTGTGATGTTTAGACCAAGAAAGCCAGGATCCCTGGTCATCTTCCGTGGACCCCTTAGACATAGTCCATGGGCCCCCAGGGGTCCATGGACCACAGGTTGCAAACGACTGCTCTAGTGCATAGGAATATGAGAGTGAAGTTGACTAGAAACTGATTTTATAAGTAAAAATAATTGTGCATATGATTTTTAATTGGACAGTTTAACTTGCATTCTTATTTTTAATAAACACTTGCAGAGTTCAACTTGTTCAATTCAGAATACATGGCGTATTTATAGCTTTGTCCTGCTCACACTGAAAGCAATTTAATTTCATTGAGTTCAGTAGAGCAGTCTGGGCCATTATTTTATAAGGAATTACTAATAATTCTCAACATTTATAAAGTGCTTTTAATCTGTAGAGAGATAAACAGCACTAATTCATATGATAATTTAGTAGCATAACATTATAAGGCTATCAAATCATTCTAGATTCTGGATTTCTTAACAATCTACTACAATCCAGTTGATATGTAGGAACACTAACAGACTGTATGTTCTCAGTAGAAGCAATAGTTCAAATCGTTCACCTAATGTTACAGATCTGATTGCATTATGAGGTCAATGGAAGAGCAACTGTTGTAAAAATATATTTTTAGACTGCTTTATCATTTCCCAACTTAACCATCCATTTTCTTAAAACTGCAAAAACATTGCTGATAGGCAAATCACTAAGTCTGTACTTTGGAAAATGTTGCCTTCTTCCAGAATCTTAAATCATCAGTCAGATGTTTGGAGTAGGCAGGACTTTCATCAAAGAGTGATTCAGCACTGCATTGCCCAATAGCAGTGCACACGTACTTGAGCCAGAGAGCAAGAAAGCAAGAGAAGAATGGGGAAGGAGTACAGAATGCAAAGAAAGAAAGGGACTTTTTGACTTTTTAAATCTTTATTACACAAATACTAAAATCAAATGATGAAAGTGCAAAAGTATTTCAACCTCCCAGGGGCCAAGCATGAACCACTTAGCTGCTAATTACAGAATAGGGAAGACGTACACAGTCTCAGAGAAGTCCAAGTCCAGCATGCCAAAGAAGGTGCTGAGAGCAGTAAAGAGCAGCTGCAGCCGGGGGCAATCCAGGAAGGTATGAAAGACAGTTTCTTCCACATCCTTCTTGCAGAAAGGGCAGGCCACTAGCATTGCCAGGTCTAAAAAGTGCCTGTGGCCAGAGCCCCATGCAGTAGCTGCCACTGGAAGTTGCCAGTTCTCTTGGTGATAGGTAGCTTGTACACAGTGTACCAGGCCAGGAGGGCTTGCTCTTGTGTTGCTGCCACTAGGTGACAACTCCAAATTGCATCAGGGTGGGCAGGGAAGACACAGGCGTGACATACTTTGATGGTCTGTGAGCACAGCACCTTCTCAGACAGGATCTCAAAGATAAAGAAAGTCAGAGATGAAAGAGAGGAAAATAGTACAAGAACAGAACATCCAGGGAGAAAATAGAAGTAAAGGAATAGGAGAGAAAAGTAGAGGAAAAGAAGGAAAACTGTTATAAGACCTTAATTACACTAACTGGCTGTGGTAACACTAAAGCAGGGATATCAAACTCACCTGGTCCTTGCTGAATTCAGACTGTGGGGTTCCTTATGGGCTAGATCAAGATGCAGCAGTGGCTGTGGGGGTTAATAAAGCAATCATTGCTCACCTCCCACCACCCACATATCCCCAGTCTGTACCTCAGATTTTAGCAGCAGACCCCATCCCTGCTCATCCTGTCCCCCAAATTCCTGGTTCTTGTCAGAGCTGTATGGGCCCTACATTTGAAACCCTTGCCCTTAAGGATATGGCAGCAAAGCTTGAGCAGTTCATTATTCTCATCAGCCTTCTGAGAGATGCCTAACTGCTTTATATGCATAGTTCAGGTTTATTATACATTTGACAGATGTATGTCAACAAGAATTCTACCTTGTTGTTTAGTACCAAATATTATCCTACCTTTCTTTCTCTTTACCTAGTCTATCTATCTTTTCTTCTTTCTGTTCTAAAATTAGGAGACAGACATACACACTCAACATATACCCACTTGCATTTTCCATTTAAAAAGTCTAAATCAAGAGGTCAAAAAGTTTTTTGTTTAACTTTCTTAAATAGCAGTTGTAAGCTCAAAGCTGCCTACTCCTAAGATGCGGGCAGTTAAAAGCCATACAAGCCATTGTAGGCTAGAACTTTACAATGTAAATCTTTAAAGCTCTACAGGATACACATTCTTTTTTTTTTAACCCCGGGTAAGATTTATATACATAATTTAAAAAAGGTGAATAAAAGGAAACAGAACAGTGGACACAACAACCAGAAATATGCTATGCTGGTGTCTGGGTAAAACTCCATTGAAGCTGGTAGGCATAAAAGGCACATTAAGGATACCTGTAAAAGCAGTTTAGTTCCTTTGTAGAACAGAGAGTCATGCTGAAAACAAGCCAACAAGCCACAGGCAAGGCTGGTAAGCAATCTGAGCTATATGGACTCAAGAGTTTGAATGCAAACACAAGAGACTGAATCTTGCTTGAGAGAGCTCTGAACGTATGTGGCAGAAAAGCAGAAGAGACGTCACACTGAAGACAATGAAGAAGCCCCAGGGACAGCCTGGAAAACACTTGTAATATTACCTTGAAAAAAATGAACAAGAGAAAGCTTTGGAGTACACTGCTGACAGGAAAGGGGCTTGGACCAGTTAGTAAATAAATTATTCCCTATTGTTAGATCCTACTATGTTCAGGGAAGCAGAACTTTGTGTATATCTGTTGTAAATAAAAGAATAGCATCAAAGTATACCTCCTCCTAAAGGAGACAACTCATGACAACTGCAATAACTGTTTAATATGAAAATGACATGTTGAAAAAGTATTTAGGAATTTAAGCCACTTTATTGTGATGTCTTGATCTTTGGGGAATAAATTAAATTCTTTCTTTCTTTGTTTTTTTAAATTCAATCTCTCCCTCCCATCTATTCTGTTTTCTCTCTCTCCTGTTTTCCGGCATAAGCTTTTTTGCCTTCCTCTTCCTTTTTACACAACCCCCTGCACCAGTTTTATTTTTACCCAAACGCTCTCTAACACGTTGGTCCTTCTTCCTCTTTCTCTTTTCTCCTTTATGGATAGCCTAACTCGATTTCCTTCTATACCTTTCTCTTTCTGGAGATCTTCACTCTCAATGGTAGTTCATTTAGTGGCATAAGGTGAAGTGAGAGGGGTAACTACCCGGGGCACCAATGGGAAAGGAGGAGTGAAAAAAAACAGCTTTTGCTATAGCCGTGTTATTGTGCTTGCAAGATCAGCAGTGACCAGAAGTTGCCACTGGCTTTGTGTGCACCTACTACCAGGGCACCCAACCACATTCTTATCCTGCTGAGTTCTTGTCCATATGTTCTGTACCTTTATCCTTGGATGTAGAGGAACTGGGTTTTAGTGGACACAGAAATTCTGTGTTCTATTTCCTGGCTCTTCTGAAACATCTGGAGGCCTGCAAAAACAGGTGGGAACAGGGAGGAGGAGCATGCAATATGTGACCTTCTTATTGCAGAACCAGCAAATCTATTAACCATCATGAACAGCTGCTGATTGAGACTATTTAAATATTAAAATTATTATTCATGGAACATTTATTTGGAGAAAACTTATAAAAAGCTTCACTTAGAAAGGTTTCTAAGGCATATTTGGGGAGATCTACACAGATAAACTATAAGCTCTCTATCTACCTGACCAACAACCAAGTCATTATTTGGATCAATGATCCAGTATATGAACAGCTAGAATGTCCTGGGAAAAAAAAGCTATGCAAAATGTCAATACAGCCTACTGCTTGTGACTGGCTCTGAGACCATATAGGTTATATCCTAGAATGGGACACTGCTACTGTTTGTACTTTCTTATGCTACTTCAGCCCCTGTATGCTGAGCTATTGCCATGCCACTCTAAGCAGGGAGAGTTTGGTTCAGAGGTTCCTGTAAAGCTCCAAAGATGAACCACATGGTCTTCTTCAGTGTTCACCAGGACTGGTGTTTCACAAGGCCTATGTAAAAGTTCCATGGAAAAGGATCAGGGAATCTTGGTAGACACAATATGAGTCTGCACTGTGATGCAGCTGCACAAAAGGCAAATGTGGTTCTGGTCTGCATCAATAGAAGCATTAGGTGTAAGACATGGAGGTGATAGTGCCTCTCTACTAGGCACTGCTTAGGCCTCATCTGGAGTACTGTGTGCAGTTCTGTGCTCCACATTTTAAAAAGGACATGGAGAAGTTCAAGAAGCCCAAACAAGGATCATCGAGTGCTTGGAAGTCAAGTCACATGAGGAGAGGCTGAAGGAGCTAGGCATGTTCAGCTTGCAGAAGAGGTTCTTAAGCGAGGACGTGATAGCAGTCTTCAAATATATTAACTATTTGGGCTGGAGGGCCACTTAAGTTTTGGTGACCTGCTGAAGGTACAAATGTGCACACACACGTACGTGTGCCACATGCACGTGTACACACACACACACACACACACACATATTCCCTGCAGTTGGGCTGGGGCTGGCACCAGAGCAGCAGTGTTTGTGGAAGCATAAGCCTGCCTGGGGCTGGGAATGTAGCATGCCCTAGCGCACCCCCTGCCCAGAGCCCAGAGCCAGCACCTGCCGGCTGTGTCCACAGCTGTGGGGCAGCGGATGGAACCTGGCTGTAGGCCTCTGCACTGTCCTGGCCTGCCATCAGGGCTTCTGGCATATGTAAGCATGCACATAAACACACACCTGCTCCCCAAACCTGTGGCTCCCAGAAGCCCTGATGGTGGGTGGTATGGGACAGTGCAGAGGCCCACAGCCAGGATCCATCCCCTATGGGCAGAGGCTGGCCTATGATGGTGCTGCAGGGAATGCTGGGCAGAAGCAGCCCTGCCCAGCTGCCTGCCTAGCACTGTGCGGCAGGCCCCAGGTGAGCTGCGCTTGGGCCCCAGCCTCTCCTGGCATCCTGTGGTGCCAAGCAGACAGGCAGGGTTGCTTCTACCCAGTGTCTCCCAAGGGGTCTGGGAAATGGAGTCTGGCTCTGCAAGCCCTGGGAGGGCCAGATTCATAGATCTAGAGATGTTTGGGTCAAAAGGGGGCAGATCATCGAGACTGCCCCCCTGCCCTGGGCAGGAAAGAGCACTGGGGTCAGACAATCCCAGCCAGGTAAATGTCTAGCCCCCTCTTAAATACCCCCAAGGTTGGGGAGAACACCACCTCCCTTGGAAGCCCATTCCAGATTCTGGCAACCCTTACCATAAAGAAGTTCTTCCTGATGTCTAACTTAAAACTGCCGTCAGTTTGTGGCCATTGTTCCTAGTTACTCCAAGGGGTGCCCTGGTAAACAGAGCATCTCCTATCTCCCCCTGACCTCGAATGAATTTGTAGGCAGCCACAAAATCACTTCTCAGCCTTCTCTTGCGGAGACTGAAGAGATCCAAGTCCCTCAGTCTCTCCACGTAGGGCTTTGCCTGCAGGCCCCTAACCATACAAGTGGCCCTCTTCTGAACCCTCTTGAGTTGTCCATATCCCTCTTGAAGTGCGGTGCCCAAAACTGGACACAGTACTCCAACTGCAGCCTGACCAATGCCACATAGAGGGGAAATATTATCTCCCTGGACCTGTTCGTCATGCACCTGCTAATGCATAATAAAGTGCGGTTAGCTTTACTGATCACTTCATCACATTGACGACTCATGTTCATCTTGGTTGCAACAATGACTCTGAGATCCCTTTTCGCTGCTGAGCTGTTGAGAAGGTCCTCCCCCAGCCTGTAAGCGTGCTGCTGATTTGTTCTCTCTAGGTGCAGCACCTTGCATTTGTCCTTGCTGAACTGCATCCTATTCTGTTCCGCCCACTTTTCCAACCTGTCCAGATCCACCTGGATTTGTTCCCTACCCTCTGGTGTATTAGGGTTTCATCTCCCAGGCTGCCATGCAGTGAAAGGCAGGTGGGACTGCTTCTGCTCAGCATCCCCCATGGCACAAGCAGAGTCTGGAGCCAGAACCACCACCTGTACCACCTGCCAGCAGAGGCTGGGGCCTGAGCATGGTTTGACAAGAGCTTGCTGTGCAGTGCCGCTGTCCATACCACCTACCCATGGACTGGATAAAATCAACTGGTGGGCCAGAAGCAGCCTGGGAGCCATATTTTGCCCACACCTAGTTTAAGCATAGCTATGCCTACATTCTGCTATGGGTATTTCCCATTCTTCTGAGGTTTGCTGGTTGCTCCCACCCACCTCCCCCTTCCTGCTCTGTGTGTCAGGGTGTTTTTAAGCCTCCCTCAGAGGCTTTGGATGCTGTTAGGCTGACAGCTTTGACTAGTGTGCCAATGCTCCTGCTGGGACCAAAGCCAGAGGCTCCTAGTTACGGGGTCTTGCCCATCCACTCTAGGTCAGATATATGACCATATTTGGGGTCAGGAAGGAATTTTACCTCATGGTCAGATTAGTATGGACTGTGGGGGATTTTACATTCCTCTGTAGCAGGGGGTATGGCTCTCTATCTGGGATCTCTTGAGCACTGTCATGGGAAGGGTTTTAAAGCAAAAGGGGCCCCTGAGAATAGGAGTAATTTTCCTGTACTCATCCCAGAAGGAAAGAAAATTGCTGCAGATACGTGAGGTGGCACACCGCATTTCCGGAGCAAGTACTTGCTTTGGACTGATGGGAGGCTTGGTGCTTCTGGGTCCTGGAGAGGGGCAACCAACAAGAGACTACAGCATCAGGAAGTCTGAGATGCTGCAAGACTCTCAATGCCTGTCTGCAGTGTGTCTGGCAGAGCAGAGGCACTGGGAATAAGGTACAGGTGGGTGGAGGACCATTGCTTGAAGAAGCTCCACTGCAGGGAGCTCAACCAACAGGGGAGTAGCAGATGAGAAGCTGGCACCTATAAGTAGGTGCTGGAAAAGGGAGTGGGAAGACCCAACGGGCTCAGCCCCCACCTGGGGGTAGAACTGCTCTACAGAGCCTTAAGGGACTGTCTCTAGGGGGTTTTTTTGTTTTTCCATTTTTGTTCCTTGTCTTGTTTAAGGGTTATTTCTTTTTCTGAACTTGAAAGGCAGACCCTGACAGGGGTTTTGGACTTAAGGGCAGTGGCGCTTCTTAGAACTAGCTTCGGGGTTGGACTAGAAAGCTACCAGATTCAGTTTCTTCAACCCCGAAGGCAGGTGACAGAACAACCCCATCCCAGGATAAGGGGTTACCCCTGAGTGATTCACTCTGGAATTGATGACCAAGGGTGTGGTGAGGATGGGATGTAGGGGAGGAGGACCTCCATAAAGCAGTCTTGCTGGGTGGTCCAAGGCAATTCTTCCCAGGGAACCAACTCCTATATCAAAAGAAGAAATATCAAAGTAGTGGCAGGTGAGATGGCAACATCAGGGGGTGGCTGAAGGAGGTAACCATAGAACCTCCTTAGCCCAATTACACACAGGGAAGATGTTAACGCACCGAGGACCTGGGCCTTATAGTACCTATCATCCACATGCATATATTGGGCAGCATTTCATAGAAGCAGGATGTTAGCTGCCATTGGTTCCCCTGCTTTACCTGTGGCAGGTTAGGGTGTTAGGTCTGTATTGTGTCAGGGTGGATGGTAGTTTTATGTAGGGTTTAGATGATGGTTGTATGGGATGGTTTGGATAGGGATGATCCTGCCTCAGGCAGGGGATTGCATTAGATGACCTTTGGAGGTCCCTTCCAGCCCTGCTTCTCTTTGATTCTATCAGGAATGTCAAATGTGCTATTTCCTGGTTTCCTAAGTGGAGTCTCAGATACTCAGATGCGGGGAATGTGCACTGAAACATTAGTGGAAATACACTTTCAGTCAAGACCTAGCCCAGATTAGTGCTGTATCTTCACTGTAGAAGAGGTGTGTGCTCAAGATAATGATCACAATATAAAATCCTAATGAATATATCATACGGGAAATTTTTGCAATTTAGCTATCTGTGATCAGCCCTATACTCTCTCCCACCACACACAACAGTCAGTTTCTTATACAAACTTCCACACGAACAGTGGGGCAAATCTTATGCTGAGATAGATTGTCATAGCTCCACTGTAGTCAGTAATGCTATACTAGTTTATACCAGTTTGTCTACAATAAGCTTTTTGTGCTAATTAGCACACGTTAACTCATATATGCCAAAATCACACCTTTAAATCCTATCTATACTGGACCCAAGTGTTCATTCTGCATTTAAATTAAATAAATAAGCAAAACTATGTGACATTTTAAGCAGCCTGACTACATTTTTTCCCCTCTATTATTCAGTGGTGTCAATATTTCACTAATCTCTAGTAGTCATTGAATCATCCAGGGTGGACAAGACCTAATTTTCTAATATTAAAAAGAGAGAAAGAGAGAGTAAAAAAAAAAAAAAATGGACAAAATTATTTTATCCTGTTTGTACATCTCATAAAGAAGCAACAAAGAAACAAACCCATGTTTTTTCTCCATACTG